GGAGCAGCTGCCTTTTCCACTGCCTCTTCAGAAGAAGACTAAACCCTTCCAAAGGATCACTGCTTCAACAAAACCACCCCTGCCACTGCAGGAGGACTGCACCCACAATTCCAATTGGACGGCTACCAGCCCCCCGACCAACAGGGTGTCAGGTCGTGTTCTGACTCTGTCAGTGTTGTTTTGTATTACTGCCTTGTTTATTTTATTTTCTTCCCTAACAAAGAACTGTTATTCCTGCTCCCATATCTTTGCCTGAGAACCCCTTAATGTCAAATTTATAACAATTAGGAGGGAGGTGGTTTACAGTTTCCAGTTCAGGGGAGGCTCCTGCCTTCCTTAGCAGACACCTGTCTTTTCAAACACTAGAGCAGAGTGCTAATGATGCTAAGGTTGTGATTTTGATCCCTGTATGGGCCATTCACTTAAGAGATGGATATGACAATCCTTGTGAGACCCTTCCAACTCAGAATATATTCTCTCAGTGTGTGTGTGTGAATAACTAAAGAAGATAGTTTTCGTTCATTTTTCTCACTCTTCAAGTCAGGCTATGCAGAAACGTATAGCAACTTTGGCATAAATTTTTGTTGGTTTACATGCACTGCTTCTGTCCTCCTGAGGGTCTTCAGGGCAATATGTTACCGTGAAAGAACCGTGAATTTGATAAATGTCACTTTTATTGTAGGACTTAAAAGCATGACTCTTGGATTCCCACTCTTAGAAAGACTGCTCACAGATCTATGTCTCACCTGTCCTAGAACAGAACTACTGCCCTGCAGCATTTTTGAGCCATTCTGCTCTACCTCATGAAAAACACTAACATTTTCATCTAAGAAAACAATCAATGTTTGAGTAGCTACCAAGTTGTGCTCCTCTATTCCCCTTCCAGAATTCCTTTGTTTCAGGATTTGATGACTGGGCCAAGCCAGTTCTGGAGAAGGGTGCATGACCAGCCCAACACCAGCGTGTTTGGGTCTTGAGATTTGCCATGGTGATATAATTCAGAAAACTTGGCTAAGGCTGAATGGTGATATTACTGCTAATAGACTTGAGAATTTAGTTCTAATCATGGAAATTCCAAAAAATAATCAGCTGAAATTACCTATCTTTATCTTTTTTACAGCCTTCTCCCCTTCTCATCCCCTTTTCCCCTCGCCATTCCACCACCATACAAGCACTACAGTCTTAATACAAGTAGATGTTTTTCATTCCAGACTGCATGACAAATTGGGAATGAGGAAAAAAATCAAGATACAATGTAACTGTACAGTTTTTTGTCTCACACCTGCCTACCACTGTCAGCTTGTTATTTCTCATTTCAGCTGTGAACATTCTCTGTAGTAATAACTGCGTATTACATGCAACATTTTTTCTCTCCAATCTCCAGTTTATATATACAACTTCTACTTGTCTTTCTCCACGCTGAATTTTATTAAAGGCTGCAAACTGAATTACGTAAAAGCACACAAACATTTTGGCATTAGACAAAAGCTTTTTCCAGCCAGAGACATTAACACTAAAATTCAGTTCAAGATGTCCAAGAGATAACTACTCTTTTAAACACTTGTCCTTTTTTAAGAACCACCACCATCACAACCAGTTACTAAGCAGTCAACTGTTAAGAACTTTAATCAAAAATGAAATCTTCTCAGCAGGGACATGTGGGAGGTAGAGAATATATCCTATCAGGACTTCATTTGAAGGATCTCTAAAAAAAACACACTTCACAATAACCTGGACTGGGGTTTCCTCATCCTATCAGGACTTCATTTGAAGGATCTCTAAAAAAAACACACTTCACAACCCCAGTTCACCCCTGGACTGGGGTTTCCTTCAAATTTTTAAAAACAATACAAGCAGTAACTAAGTTAGTGCCAGCTTAAATTGCTCAAACTACAGGAAATGTGATCACAAAACTGTTGTGCTACAGCCTGGCAGTTCAGAAACATCAGGTTTTGTTACTGAACTCCTTTAGACTGCAGGTCAGCAAACCTTACCATATTTTCTGCCAAAGCAATATTCTTAGTGAAGAAAATAAGGGAAGCTTAGAAATATACAAGATTTCCTTACAGAAAGAGTAACCCAAACACCACTGATGCATACACACAGAAATATCAAACAGCATGGCTGAAAAACACACACAGCCCTCTACACGACTAATGAGGAGGAAAAAGAGGTGCTTGTTTCATTAGACACATACTCGTTTGCTTACATCCAAAGCACTTGTTGCCAAAGAATCCTCTGTCATCATAGCACAAAATTCAATTTTGATCTGAAAAATTTTGTTGAACTTTAAAGAGGTATAAACACCCTCTACAAGTCTGCTAGAACTTTGTTTTCTAAAGAAAATGCTAATTGGAAGCTCACTGTTGGAGACATCAAGAATTACTATCATGCAGATATGAAAACAGAACATTTTTTCTTTTGGACTACTGATGAAACATATATTAAGTGACCAAAATAAATATCTTTTTAATGGGATCTCTAAGTAGATTTGAATAAAGGTAGCAAGTTAAAAAAAACCCAAAACAAATATGCATGTCAAGTAAGCCCCAGTTCTGAAGTTTTGCTTTGCGGGTTTTAAGCCCTTTTGTCATTAACTTCCCATCAAATGAAAGGAGTAGAATGACTGGCAAATGAAGAATAACTGAAGCTGAACTGCCACTCCTGATAACCCAGTTTCCATTTAAACAGTGAGATGGCCGTAGGCTTTGAGAATTTGTCACTACCCTGTACACCCGCTGATAGTAAAGTAAATGCAGATGAGATGAGCCAATTTTAAGCAACGTGCTCCTTTTTATCCCTTTGGTCATAGGAAAAAAATCTATAGAGCTACTATGAAAATTAACAACTTATTTTTTGTTTTTTCAATGTAGGATAAAATAACTGCTGTGCTTGTAAGGAATGCACATAATTATTTTCAGCATTGCATACACGCAACAGAAATTTACTTTTTTATAGATACCACTGACAAAGCAGACAGACACACAGTTTTCACAATGAGAAATTTGTGATCAAATAAACAGAGCAACTGCATTAGTCTACCCATTAGCATTTAGGGATAAAGATTTAGCTTTTCTGCCCTGAGACATTAAGTTTTGCCTCAGGGAGGTCAAACACACAGGCCAATTAACAGCTCCAACAGTTGCAGCTATTTTAATAGGTATAGCACCCAATTTCAGATTTCAATGCAAATATACCATCAGGGGCAGGGGGAAGTTGTAAATTAAAAAACAATCTAAAATGTTAAAATCTGATGCTCTTTTAATACCTTAGCCTTCATGATAAAAATGAGAGCGTCAAGTGATAACTCTGGTAAGTTCATTAAAAAGTAACCAGGTTGCATGTTCCAAGCCGATTTCCTACAGCTCATAACTGAGTGGATCAATTCTAGCCTGGCTATCACTTTGCTCCTCTCCTGTAGTACTCAAAGAATTTTTCCAAACACGTACATAGCAAAACTGAAATTCTGTTTTTCAGGAGAGTACATCTTCAACACATAGGCTGAATTTGTGAAACAAAAATAAGGATCCCTCCAAGTTCATTACCCTAAAAATAGAACACTGAAATTAGACTGCAGGTTTCATGGGATTTCCTTACTAAGTAGATCTCAAAATATTCATTAAAAGAATGTAAAGCTACAGCTCAGAGTAATAGAACATATATTTTTAGTTTCAAAATATGGAATTTTTCTTTTTCTTTAAAAAGAATATTAATCCTTAACTTTCATGTTTAGCCCATTAAACATTACATCAGAGATGTGAAATGCTAGAGCAAGCACATTTTGCATTAGCATCTATATCCAGAAACTGCCAAACTGCCCATTAAATCTTTTGAATAAATCATGGGGAAAAAATGTCAAGAAGCAACTAAATAGGAATGACAGGCAAACAACCAAAGTGAAGATGAAGTCACATGAAAGGAGTGACAAAGGAAATCAGTGCAAAAGAACCGCAAAATGCACTTCCAGTGAACCCAGAATTCACAATCTCCTGTTTGTGAATTGTATTTTCTCAGGCACACATTTCCTGTAATTTTTGCCTGCATTGAGTATATGGTTAGGTAGCAGTATGGATTCATTCAGCATATAGTTAAAATTTAAGTCAGTGCTTAGAATGACCAAAATACTGGGTCTAAACAAAAACTCTGTTACATAGGAGACGTGAACCAACTGCCTAGAAAAGGACAGATCACCAGCACAATGGTCCCTTGCAAATTAGTGTAAAATGAAAAAAAAGATTGTATTGGTCTAATTAAAATTATCTATCCAACTATAGATTTTATCTATCCACCTATAGATTTTGACCTTGTGTATTTCCCATATACAACATTACTGGGTTTCATTAGACCTTAATTTAACTTTGCTGAATAGTCAAGGTCCAGCATTTGAGTTTACTCAATCTCATCTTCCTCCTGATGCTCCCTCTAAGAGAAATTCCACAAGTACAAAAGAAGGCATAGAAGTGTATTCTTTGTATACTTACATGTTCAAATAATGCCAGACAACTTAGAAAAATATGCATTTAGAGTCTGGGTTAGGGGCAGCAAGTAAGAATCTGATAAACAATTTGTTTCAATAAATTGGTTCCATAAATGAAGCAATTACAATTCTGAGCTCTCTACTGTAAATCTGAGTTGACACTAGAGCACATCCCTGCTAATTATAAACCACATTAGATTTGTCAATCTGGCACCACTGGCACGAAAAGCTGATCACTACTACTTTCACAAAACTGAAGTAAGACTAAATGACAATCCTACATCCATATATTAATTTTATATAAATTTAATACAACATGCATCACCAAGCAAGAGCCACTGTTAGCTCTCTCTCTGGCACCAGCAAATTTCTCTGGTGTTTGATGATGGAAATGAAGTGAATCATTTACATTTACAGACTGTGCACGCTAGGCAAGGAATTTTGGCATTAAACAGCCCTCAAAACTCACTTTAATATGAATTAATTCTTTCAACATCATACAAGAGGAAGCAGAAATACTTACTAGTACAGAACTTCATTTGCTTCATGCCTTTCATATCTAACAGTTTCACACATCAGTCTGAAAGAGAAGAAGTCAATTTTAGTTATGATTCCTATCAGTGTCACAAAGACTTCACTTTCTAAAGTTACTCAGCATTTCTACAGGTAACTCCAGCACTTACAGAAATCAACCACTAATTTAAATCCAAGATGATTCATAACTCAAGAGAACAAATTGTAAAATCTAAGCATTTAAATTATTTGTTCATCCAAGACCAGGTTTGATTTAGGACACTAGATGTAGCTCTTCCCATAAAAAATTCTATAAAAATAAGGAAAAATTATATTGATCTCATTTTCCATAGTGATGTGATAAAAGAAAGTAGCTTTATAAAAACAATTCTGAATTTTAGAAATGGTTGGAAATGTACTATGTGCGACACTAATCAGAGACACAATATAAAAACTGCTCTCTTTTTCAAGTTAGGTCCAATAGGTAAAACAAGAAATTGTGTTGCCTGGTAAATCAATGTTTCTCATTTTGCTAAAATTCAGCAACTTGAAAATTACCATGAGATTTTAATGCTAAAGTCCCAGAGGGTTCAAAGTGGAGAGAATTTCCTGCAGGAAAATCCTCTGTCTAGAGGGAAGGATTAAAGTGCTTTCGTATTCACTGTCTGCCTGACAAATGTGGCATAATAGAGAGCAACTATAATAGAACTTACCACATACTAGGAAATGCAATGTTAACTTGATGTAGAAAAATCACAATGCCATTTCTGTCTACTGCCTTAAGGAAATAGCCCTATGAATTACTGGGGGGGGGTGGGGACAAAACAAATCCCACTGCCTCCCCTGGCCTTTCCATAGCTCTGAAGCAGACTGCAAACCCCAAGGCTATTTGACAGTCAGACAGAGATTTACCTAAGAGGCTCATGAGAAAATTCAAATAAGGAACTATATTTAAATTCTGGAAATAAATTCTCTTTCCTCACATAATCCATCATCAGAATCTCGGTGTATCAATGACCAGCTGCCAGCAATAATATCATAAGCAGGCAAAAGCACTCAAGAATTGCTACTCAGGCAAAAAGTCTCCAAAAAGTTTATTTGAGACTTGTAAGAGTTGGTCTGGGTTTGACATAACAATCAATTGCCATTTCCTAGATAATTAATTTCAATAGTCAACAGACTGCTACAAAAGTCACCTTAGCATTCATCTCACAGGATTTTACTTATTATTTCAGCCCACTAAGAAATAATGCTCCTTCTGTTCAGAACTGGCAGGCTTACAGTGGTATCATGACTATTCATAAATTGTTAATAGAAAATTGAGATCTTAATTTTGTTTGCAGATAGATATAAAAATTAAGAATCAAGTTTTACTGTCACAGCCTTTCCCACACCCTGGTATTTTAGATTTACACTTTGGACCATCTTTGAGAACTTTTCTCACTGAAAAAATGTCTCCATTGTATGAAAGTAAGCATTATGTATTACATATCAATTTCAATCTTTTTCCGTCCTGGCACAACAAAAAACTTTTAACCACAGAACCATCTTTTTTCAGACACTTCTCTCCATCATAAAATTGGGTCTTGTTAAAATCTTTTACAGACACTGGAAAGCTACTGGCTGCTTCTACCTCCTGGGTTTTTATCTTCCCTCTCTGATCCTGTTTTGAGAGGGAAGGGAAGCACAGACATGAAGTCACTGGTGAGAGGATACTAGAAGAGAAGCCATTGCTAGGAGTCAGATTTAAAAATTTAAATACTGCTCAAGTCTGTGCCCTACTGGTCTGGAACGATGCTGGGCAATGTGCCACATAAGAGCAGGAGTCACAGGAAACAGAATCACTTTAACAAGCAAGTTTTGTTCCTCTCTGAATTGGGATAGAAGGAAGCACATTCTTGATAAAGTCACGTAAGTTCACCACTGGCACTGAGTTTTACAGCATTTTGGTCCCATTATTAGGACAGCAAAAGGGGAGAAAATGCCTCTTACAGAAGGTAGCCAAGTGTTTCAATTTTTGTGTTACAGTGGAACAGTTAGAAATTAGTCACCAAGTTGTACAAATTAGATTGCCTCCTCTTTGAAAAACTGAATTAGTTCTGATCAATACTGGTGTCCAGTTTTTTTTGCTCAATCACTCAAACGTGATCTTTATCCACTTCCTCAACAAATGTAATAAATTACAGATGAGATCACCAGCAAGCCATATGGTAAGTTATTCACTACTAGGGGCTACATTGAATACATTCAGTTTTAATGAATCTCAGAGGTTTTTGTGGCATTCCACTGCCACAAGAAGAGTTGTATCCTAAAGGATACTATAAAAGCTTTCAGCCCAACATCTGCTGGGAGCCCGGCCTTTTCCATGTATGGTACTGTAAACAGAAGCTCTCTTTGAGGAATTCGCTATGCTGGGAGAGCGAGTTCCACACATTCCTCAACAAGAACCTCATGCTGCACAGGAAGCCAAGAAGCACACATCAACATACCACACAACCATATGTGCACACTTTGATCTTTGTAAACAAGTTAACATCAGTTTAACTCCAGCTATGCAAAACTTCACGTGCTAAAAGTATTGCAAATAACAACATAACACAAAATACTTAACTCAATGTAACCATGACCTCCTTCCAGAGCAAAAGTAATTACAGAGATGACTTTGAAGTTAACATTCACATTGCAAAATGTGTCTTGAGCACTTTGAAAGAAAGAAAACCGCGCCTTTTATTTTCTCCAAATTACAGAATATTGGCTTGTGAATGTGGACTCCCACAGAATGATGAAGCAAGAGGCCAGAAATTAGAACCTAAACCAGCATTAATCAACTCAAAGTTGCTTCAGCATCTTCACATGTGGCAAATGTTGGCAAAGCACAGGGTACAGAACAGCAGTAATTCACCCTCTCTCCCCACAGTGCATACAGGAGATGTGCTGGTCTCCTTCTGTAGCTGCCAGCCTCACACTGATTCCCAAATACCCTTAGAAACGTCTGCTGTAAGATGCTTGTGGGAGGACAACTGCAACAATTACTTAAAAATCAAACAAACACAAGTCTTGACAAAAAAAAAAAAAAAAATAGGAAGCTCTCGGGAAAGATTTGACTTGAATTAACTTGCTTCATGAAGCATTTTAATAAAAAGTGTGGATGACATTTATCAAATATCTTTACTAAATATTATTTGCATGTGTTGTATATAATGAGTCTAAAATTTCCACACAAAAGCAAGCACAAACTGAAACAGAAGCCGACAAACAGACTCTGCTCTCATGACTACTATATTACATAAATGATTTCATCAATATATGGGCTTGTACTCTGTATGTAAATGTAAAGCATTTATTTCTAGTCCAAAAGTTTGAAAAGAAAACAAATGCATCCATAACAGATAGAAACAGGATGGAACAGATAGAGATATGCTGTGCAGACATTCAAGGAGGAAGTGTTAGAAAAATAAAGAAGGGAAGAAAAGAAGGCAGTGATGGGCAGTTTGAGGTAGGGTACACAAGAGTAGTATATGGTTACCAAAATTACTGTTCCTTTGCCTTGTTAGTGCATTAACATATATGGTTTTTAATGACACAATATCCTACCTTAGCTGATGCTCTCTCAGATTAGACAATGCTTCCATTCCATGCAAATATGAATACACAATCTCCAAGTCCTACAAAAATAAGGAAAACATTTTTACTATTCTCAGTTTGATACAACCTGTTAAAATAATGGTTTTAAAAACATCCAAAGCTCCTTTAACAGGGATAGTAGGGATACTTCCAGGAGATTAAAGGCAAACTGCAAGAACACCTTTGATTATAATCTGGAACCTCACAGGAGGAAGAATGATAGCATGTCCACATGAAATACAGAAATCTTTCTGCTTTTGCTGCCATTACTCTATGTCCACGAAACAAGCCCAGTCCAGAATTACAGTAAACTATTTTGCAACCATCACAGCTCTGCTTTCCAAAGCCAAGATTCCCAAAACTTTCATTTACTTTGTAAAGCAAGGTCATAAGAAATCAGGTTTTTTCACATTCAAGGGAAAAGAAAAAAAGTACAACAGAGTCTAACAAAATACTCCATTGTACAGAGATATTTCTAAAATTGTATCCTCTTCAAACAGAAGATAATCTACAATCTAAAATGAGAAAAAAAAAGCTGGAATGAACAGAAAATTACTGACATGAGAAAATAAGAAAAACCAAACATGATCCTAATAATAATATGGTGAAGTTTTATATTCAACCACTGTGGACCTCCAATATCCAGCTAACAAAACATTAATAAAGATATGAAAACAACATCCAAGACTAAAACATCCTAAAATGCAAATGTGGAAACACTAATGCCAGGCTAGAGGCTTTGCTCAAGTTATACTTAAAATAGCTACTACATTTAAGAGAAAGTTTCAGTGAAGCCAACAACCTCTACTTAGAGTGATTTAACTTTGGCTCATGGATTTCATGCTGTTTCATCACCCTTTTTCTTATTTTGAAACTTGTTAGTTGAGAGACAAAGTATGATCCATAATTCATTAAAAATCAGAGCAACAGTCCTCAACCACTAACTGAGGCAAAGTCGAGAATAAACTAACACCAACACAACTCTCTCTACTGTGAGATGTTTTTCAAGCAATGGAATATATCAAAGCTAGAAATTTATGGAAGATTTGATCACTGCGAATTATCTGTGAACTTAAAATTGCCTAAAAAGTACAGAGATACTTTTTCAGACACAATGAAAGAATGTTCTTTGGGCAAAGACACAGAACTGACATCACAGAGAGAACTTGAATTTAAGAAAGAAAAAGAAAATCCCGTTAAATACATTAAGTGTAGAAACATGCTGTACTTGTTAAAACCATGGTACATCAGAAAAGATACCAGGAGTTACATTCAGTGGCTCAGGCTAGATAGATGTCTCTCATTCTGTAATAGAAAGAATGTCTTTTTCTCACAGCAGAAAAGGCAAATGTTCCATTTGAAAAAGCAGAAGAAACACACAAGCCCAAGTGCTGCAATTTCACTTCAGTTTTGGCCCTTCCGTTCCCTTGCCCTCTAGAGGCTTTGGTCCTGCGAACAGCAGAGGGCACATCAAAGACAAAAGTAATTGCGATGGAGGGCTCTGTACATACAAGGCTCTGAAAACACAGCAGTGCTCGCCTTTTTCCTACAAACAGAAGTGTGTGAAAAGACGTGTGCTGCAGTCAGCGCCCTGCTCCCTGGCCAGCCAGGCTGGAGGTGAGCAGGCGCTCCCGGGAGCCCTGTGCTGGCGGCAGGCTGAGATGCCAGCCAGGCACCGCTGCTGCTCATCCAGACACTCCACGGCACAAGCCAGCAGCTGCCATGGGAAGCTGCGAGGGGACCACTGAGGATCAGATGCTCCTAGCAGCATCTTACATGGAAAAGAGCCTGGCCAGAAAGTGCTGCTCTAAATTATTTCCAGCAAGGCTCTCTAACAACAAGCAGAGAAAAAAGGAGAGTCACTTTCTGCCACCATCTTTCTCTGGAGTGGCAGAGACTATCTGCTGTAAAGTACTCACAGAAGAAGAGAGAACCATTAAGGATGCTAGCTTACAGACCCAGGAGTGGACCCATGGGCATGTGGCTTTCAAGACTGACGGGTGACACAAACCTAGTGGCCAACCCTACAGATGTTGCAAAGGAGTGAAGAACACAGGTTGTGTTCCGAGAGGAATGCAGCTGAAGTGACTCAGTGCAGGGGGAATGCATTGAATCAGGGAAGGGAGTCATAGAGCCATAGAACAGTTTGGGTCAAAAGGGAAGTTAAAGATCATGATTCTAACACCCCTGCCATGGGCAGAGTCTCCTTTCACTACATAAGGTGGTTCAAAGCCTCATCCAGCCCAGCCTTAAATTCTGATCAATTTCACAAGCAATAAGGTATGTTCAGTAAACCTTTTTTTTTTTTTTCAAGTAAGTAATTCCCTTTCAAAAAACAAGCACACTTGTCAAATATTTGCAAATACAACATCCCATAGGTCCCCAGATGAGGAACTGCAGATCGTGGAGGTCCTCGACTAAAAAAAAATAAAAAAGGATAAAAGATATTTTTTTTCAAAATCTAAAGAACTCTAATAAAAGGGAGAGGTGAGGAAAAAAACACAATTAATGAAGGCTTTACTTGTGCTTCCATCATAGTTGCTGGCTAAAAATACTTCATCACTGATAGAACTAAGTTGAGGGACTTTTTTCAGTTTGGGAAAAAAAAAAATGTAAAAAAGGGCAGCAAGAAAACATTCTAACATCTCAGCTGCCATGCACTGGATATTCTGACAAGTGCCAAAGCGAGCTGCTGCCTATTCTTTAAGCGGTATCTTTCCAGAGGCGTCTGGCAGGAAACAGCTCCCTCTAGCATCAAAAGTTTGGCATTGAAATTGAAGTAACAAAAATCCAGCAACACTCCTTTCAATCAACTTCTCCATAATATTGCAAAGCACAAAAAACTACAGTAGAGTCAAAAAAGTAAATATATTTTCATACGTGGTCAGTAGACTCTGCACCCTTCCAGTCAGCCTGTAGCATTAAAGAGGGGGAAGGCAATTTAAATGAAATAAAATCAGAATGTCATGTTATTGTTGTTAGGCCACATCAGTTTTCCATTTATCTCAGGAAAAACTGTGCTTACTTGGCAAAAATACTCATTCTCAAACACAAATAGCTGTTTCAACTTCTTAATTCAAAGTGAATTGACAGAATGCAAGAGTCCTTTGGAAACATCTGTGCCAAGTATTGCAATATCCTAAGCAGATTCCAAGTGCTTGAAACAAAACCATTTCACAAAAATAACACACACACACACAAACTTAGGCATGTAAGGTACGAAAGTTTTTGATTTTGATATTCAAGGCACTTGACAAAAGCTAAACTGAATTTCTCATGAAAAGAACTCCGTCTTTAAAGGACACGGCATGCCTACATGATTTATGCCAACGAGTTCAGCAAAACCCTTAAAGCAGCAGCTCAGTGCAAGCCCGCTGTGACTTACACAAACATTTCTGCCAGTTCGCAGTGTCCCTGAAAGCCGGCTCCAGCTGATGCCCAGGCTATGCAGAAGTAGACACGAGCACAGATGCTGCTCTCACAAGGCGTGTTCCCAAATAACCACCGGAGGGCAGCCCGAGCCACCGCAACCGAGTCAGAGAACGTCATTCTCTCCAGCTGCTCCCTTCATTGTTTCCAACATCACTTTGTAAGAGTTCGAACACGCCGAGAGGAGCAAAGCTAATCATCTCCACTACAACTGGTTCAATACTCTGCTACAGGAAGGACTACTTACCCAAAAGAGCAGAGGAACTACCAGCTTTCTGCTTCCTAGTTTTAGCTAGCCAGCAGAATTTAAAAAAAAATATAATTAAAAAAAAAAAAAAAAAAAGGCAAAAGCCATGCAAAGCCTCAGCTGATCTTGCTACACAAAGGTTGTGGCAACAGCTTGAAAAATCATCTCCAAACCCAAAAATTAAATCCAAAAAGCACAAATTAGTGCAGCTTTTAAAGCATGTTTTTATTTAAATGAAAGCTAAAAGACTGAAATCTAATCTACACTTAAATCTGTGCTGCAGCCAAAGTCATATGCTTGGGTTGCTGTGTGGGAAGCATCACAAAATTTGTTTAATTCAGTGTTATTTCTTAATTTACTTGTTTCTGTGGTGTCAGATGGATCACTTTAAAGTTCTGACTGTACTTTGAAACAAAACAGAGACACTCAAGTTTTAACACAGCTCAACTTCAATTAGATCTGCAGAAACATATTGGTCTGCAACCTTACCTCTGCTCTCCATTCTAATAAAAATCTGTCTGTGTTTCTGCCCAGACTTTCTATCCATTTGATTTGTCCTTCAATCATATTTGCCAGTTACACAAACCAGAGAAACTCAAACTAGAATGTTGGCCCCAAATTCATAATAGCTTAATGAAGACAATTTTTTCTTTCTTAAGATGATAAAGATGTGAAAATTTGCTATTTTGGACTGAAAAACTTAAACCCCTCTAAAAATTGCAAGCTTACACTGCTTTCAGTCCTGGTTTGCATTAAGGTGTGAAACTACAGGCCAAAGTCAACTATTCATCTTTGCCACAGTTAAGCAAAATCCTGAGAAATTCATTGCACTCCAAGTAAGAATTCACTCATTTCTGTGATGTGGCAAACAAGAAGAGAGCAGCTTTCATCTTAAAATAGTTTGGTTTCTTTCAAACCAAAAGGAAAAATAGAAAACAAGCTAATTTCTTGATTCACAGTCTTGAAGGATAGGAAAAAAAGCAACTTTTCAAAGCACCTAATATTCACCTGAGGCTCAAAAAGATCTGCACGCTGACAGTACAATGTATTTTGAAAGGGTGATCTCTTAAAAATAACTTCTCTTTAGTTCACACTCAGCCAACCACCAGGAGAAGCAGGCTCCAAAGGGAGGGGGTGCACTCGCTCCCCATCACATGTGGCCCCTCCAGACCTCACCCCAAGCCCAGGTTTCAGTGCTGTGAAGACAGGAGGTCCCACCTGGTGCCTCCATGCTGATTCCTGCCACATCCCTGGCCCCAGGGTGAGCACCTGCTCGCAGGGACCCAACTTTGAGCTGCTCTATTGGCAGCATGAGACTCATAAGCTCAAGTGTCGAGGCAGTGGAGGCAACCCTCCTGCAGCCTG